TACATTATTAAATATAAATAATAATTTCTTTCTTTTGAAAAAAATGATATTATAATACTATGAATATAAGATATGAATTATTTTAAAAAAAATCCTTTTATGTGTTTTTTTCAAGTTTTAAAATAAAATTAATAAAATGACACAAATGAAGTATTTGCACGAAAAAAATTAGGGTTAAAATTTGCTTAAATTAAATGTTCATGTATTTTTTTTGAATCATATATCAAATGCTATTTAAATCAATCAATTGATAATTCACCTCGCCGGTTTTGAGAATATTCAACCAACGTTTATTATCTTCAAAAAATATAGATTTTTTGAAATAAAGATATGCTTGGAATTCCACATTAACCAACAAAGAGTCAGTAGAACTAAGAAAGTGAACCTACTTTCTCAGTTTGCAACTTCTTTTTATTTATATGTGTTTTTTCGAATTTTATTTTAGGCTAATAATGGGAATGCTGCATGTGATTTAATGATGGCATATGTGTATTACTAATATTCTTATTGAAATGTTGAATCTTGTTCTTATAACCTGTTCAAATAAAGAATTTTGTAGCTTAGCTTCTCTTTATAAACTTTACTATATGAATTTGATGTAAACCAGATTTTGATTTTTTTTATATGATATTTTTATATCTGACGATTTAATAACTTTTTTGCATACATTTACCGTATCAATTTAATTTTTTGATAGTAAATTATATGATAGAACGTAGTATTGAGGATCTAGAGTGTCATTATTATGTATCATATAATTAAATCTCTGAGTATTAAAGAGTTATATTTGAATTCTCTGAAATCAAGTATATAACATGCATTTTTCTTCACTTTCATTAGGTTATGTACGCAATCAATTTAGTTTTGGTAAAATTCTTAAACACTCTCGTGCCTATACATTTTGATTTCATATTACATGAACATGACATTTGCTAGTATGCTAGTTGATTTTCACATCTTTAATAATAAGCTATGTAGTTTAAATAAATTTTACATATATATATAAACATAATTTTTGATGATTTTTTATTAGAATATGAATATTTTATCATGATAAATATTTAGAATAAAATAAAATACTATAAATCTCAATTTCATTTGTTTTCAGAAAAATTATTTTAATTGAAGTACTTTCACTTAGCAAAATTTCATCATGGTCATATTTTTCTAAAAAATATTATAATTTAAAATTTAGATATTTAAAATTTAGATATTTAAAATTTAGATATTTAAATTTTATGTGAAATTGACAAATGCTGATGATTTTTTCTTGCAAAAAAATATATCAATGAAACGATCAAAATCTTGTTCATTTCTAATTTTACTATAGTTTTGTTATGTTATTAACCTAACAACATTACCCGATTTTCAATAAATTATAATTCAAGTTGCTCTATTTTTTTTATTTGTTTCATTTATATTAGATGTTTTGATATTATTCCGTGCACCTTGATCACTTTTTATAACACTAATACACACACAGATATATATATATCAGCTCATTTGTACGATGTTTTGCAATATTATACGATGGTATAGAAAAACATTTTCTGTGGCATTAAACATACACGTCATCAAATAACCCACATTGTGCACACAACAATATCCTTACAATTATTTCAAAATATCTTGCTATAATCATAATGTTTAAAGAATTTTACAAAAAATGTTGATAAAATTGTGCAATCTCATCCAAGACATGTAGACATAGGATTATGAAAAAAAATGATAATTGAAAATTAACTGTTCTAGTTCTATAGTTTGTGTGAAACAAAAATAAACAAAATCATATGAAATTTACAACAATCAAACATATATCATTTAACAAAATTTATGTGTATTTATATATGGCTAAATTATATTCATACATTAAACATATTTTTTTAATTACGTTGATATATATATATGTTATATTTTTAAATGTTGTATATATAACATTTAAAAATGTAAACTCTATATAAATAATAGCGGAAAAATTGGAATTAGCCAAAATAATAATATAGTTTCATCATTGCATGTTTAATGATTAGTATGATCTTATTTGCTATGTTTTTGTTGATATTTATAATACAAACTACAATGAGATATAAACCTGGATTCATTTTTGGAATTTTGTGTGTCAAACATGTGATAAGATTGAAGTACAAAAATTGTATCAAATAATATTAAACAACATACTTTTCATATTTTTTTTGAAAATAATGATAATAATAATAATAATACAATGTAAAAGTGTAATAGTATTATAATATTTTTTTATCAATTCAGAATTTTTTTTTAAATTTATTTTTAATAATATTCACAATTAAAATATATATGTTTAGAAATGCATTCATGAAATTTTTACTTGGAATCTGAAACTAAATATTTTATTTATAATAATTAATAATAATTAAATGTCTTCCGGCCTAAACAAGAAGCCGACCTAGCTCAGTGGTAGAGCGCGTGGCTTTTAACCACGTGGTCGTGGGTTCGATCCCCACGGTCGGCGACATCATGCTGAAATTTTCTTCTTCGACATTCTCGTCGTTTTAGACAAGTTTTTTAATATAACAAGAGAAACGTTGTGTGTACATTAAGTATACAGTTGAAGTGATATTTGACTATCTTTTATTAGTTTTTGTATTTTTTTTTGGTTAACAAATACTATGTGTTGATACTACTTGAGCTTAATTTAACATATGAAGAGTTTAATTTTTTGCGTGTAATTCTTTAAGGGATGTAAGAGATGCATGCTAAAAACTAGAGAGTGAAAGGTAGAAAGCCTTGTGTAGTCTAAGGTTTGCTCCTTTGGATTATAACCTACATATATCTGCCAAATAATGATCTCACAAAAGTTATTATTTGCAGATCATTTATAAAACACACAAGTATAGATAGCCAATATCAAGTCTTATCAATTGAAATAACTGGTCAAATAAGACTATTGGACAAAGTCTATCTGCAGAATGCAATACATTCTTCACACAGATCTCTTTGAAAGTGTTCGTGTTTATCACCTCCACTATACGCAGACAAAGCCCTGTGATGAACAGTTGTATAATTTTGTCTCTCGTGATAAATTTTGGCTAGACTCAGATGCTTTACTTCTGCATAAGACAAAACTTATGTGAAGGAAGACTTCTACGGTACACGAACCTTTCGGCAAAGGTCTCACTGCTCTAAGCTGATTTTACAACAAAGTTTGTCTGGAGTGTGATGAGGCCATTCAAACATCAGAGTACTACTACCTTCCCATGAGCAGTATCGATTCATAGCAAAACCCGGCAAATCACAGCAGGATCTCAGCAGAGGAGGTTAGGAATATAGCGAAACGATGGAGTACGAGGCATAATGAAGAGAATAGAAAATCATGAAGCACTCGATTAATTGACCTCAGTCGGCAGAGACTCCGAATTGCACTTCACAGGCCACAGTTTCAATATCTCTGGAACTCAAGTATACCACGAGCTATTGAAATCATAGCACTCCATAGATAGATAGATCATAGATCTATCTATCTGCTGGTGGACATGGTGGACACAGAGAGAGTCGTCCCGTCATAACTGTGCACATAGTGTATCACGGACCCGTATCTGCTGGAATCAAGTTGCTCAACGACGACCCCCAAAAGTGCATGTTCTCACAACTGCTCCGGGTCAGACCCATGTGTTCCCGTCGACCGTGACCGCGAGAGACACGACGCACTCCGAACCGAACTGCACTAACCCAACTTGGGTTAGTGCAGTTCGGTTCGGAGTGCGTCGTGTCTTGATTTTAGGCCCAGCCGGCTAGTCGTTTGTATCGGCTAGCCGGCTAGCCGAAAGTTAGCCGGCTACGTGCCCATCCCTAAACCCAACCCAACGCAACCCAACCCATCCAATCGCAGCCCACGCCCTCAAGATGGTCACCACGCCCGCGGTTGGTTTGCCTCGCGGTCGAGTTCGAACACTTGTGCTGTCCGCGCATTGCCAGGAGTGGCAACTAACTTTAGAGTCGTCCTAAATACAGTTCTCCTCGTCGTCAGGAGCTCACCCGGTAGCGTGTCATGGTCACGCAGCGTACAGCGCAGTGCCATTTGTGGTAAACTGGAAAAAGCCGACCAGTGCGCAGTTCCCAGGTCAGCTGGGGGGTGCCAGATCGGGCAGGCGGCGGTCTGGGGGTCGCCGGTGGCTGTGGACTCGGTGACGGGGACGGGTACGGGGACGCGGACTGCCTGAAGAATCGGGGCTCGTCCAGAGGGAACGAAAGGGAAGCGCCGAATGTGGAGAAAAGCCTCCAGCACGAGCGCCGGCGCCGAAGTGGACAATCCGACCGACCGATTTATCGAATGAATGAGCGATTGAGTGGATGAATGGACTGACGCCAGTTGCCGCTCGGGGAATGATTCGGAACGCAAGTGCCGGATCGGATCGGCGAGCGATGCAATTCGTCGAGTGATTAATGAATGCACTCGAGCTCCGAATCATCGTCGCCGAAAAGAGGAGAGCCAAATGTCCCGGAAAGCGGAAGAAGAGGGCTTTTCCAGCTGCCGGCCGAGAATTATTCGCCGATTATTTTGCCGCATACGGCAGAAATAAGGAGTCCTGCGTCCGCGGAGGCGGGGTCGGCCGGGCTGACGACGACCAGGGTGCCCCGTCGTCGCCCGCCGTGATCGTCAGGCTGTGGACCTGCAAATCAGGTCAGCTGTAACGAAGAAGGGCGGAGGCGGTCTCGCTCGCTCGCCGGCCATGGCAGTACACTGGGGCGGTGACCTGTTCTGGCCGGTCCCGGCTATTGTGCGAGACCGTCGGCTGCCCGAGCAGAGAAGTGGTCGAGCCATGTGAATCCCCGGAGGGCTGGCGGGCGGGCGGGGCTTAGGGAAAGGGGGTTGGGGCTGGAGCTGAGGGTGGGTATGGGGGGCGAACTTTTGCTGTCGTGTCCGGGATTTTCTTGTTCGGTTGAGTTCTTCACGGATGACTCGACGTTTGAACGGGCCAGTCGTGTTGGCATCGCTGAGAGGGGGCTGGGAGTGGCGGGGAGTGACGCGAGGCGAGGGGGGCTGGGGCTGGGGCAGGGGCTGGGGGAGGGAGAGCGAGCGAGCGAGCGAGGAAGGGAGGGAGGATGAATGGGAGCGAGGGGCAGTGGAATGAATGGGCGACGAGGTGGCGACATTGAGTGACATTTAGCGGGAGCATGGAATCCGGTGAGGTTATGGATGGTTGACGCCACCGTTCTTTCTCCATCGCTTCTTGGGCGGGGAGGACAAGCGACGGGAGGACGGTGCGCGCAGTGTTGCACTTGGAGGTGGACGATGCGTTGTGTACGTAAGTAGGAAGGATGATGATGCGTGAGTGAGGGCAGTAGGTTCAGGGTAAGAGAGAAGGAGGGAAGAAAGAAAGCGACCGACGACTGTGTCGCAGTGGGGAGAGGGAGGAGCGAGGAAGTTATGGTGATGGAGACTTAGGGGGTTTGTGAATTGTCGGCAGGGGTCTGGATCGCGCGATTCGGATTTACATCGGGACAGCGACAGCGACGGGCGAAGTGATCGTAGACGGATTCGGTTGTTGGTAGTTTGTCAGAGCATGGGTGGAGAATGAAGGTGGTACAGGTGATGATGGATCATGAATCTATAAGTGGAGGGGCGGATGCTCCTCCTAATTTCACCTTTGCTTTCAACGATAGCAACTTTTCAGATCGTGTTCTGCGGATAGAAATTGTGGCGGCCCCTCCCGATTCTAAGTTGGACGTGGAAGGCTCCACTGCCGGAGCTGATTGGGCTAGAGTAAAAAAGCGCCGGAGAGCCGACCGCAATGGTGTCGAAGGTTCGTATAAGTATCCGTTTGTCCAGTATGCGCAGTTTCAAATTTCGGCTTGCTTCGACGATTCTGAGCATGAATTGGTTGTCTGTCGATAATGCTTTGCATCTTATCTTCAACTTCATAACGCTGTCTGCATCTCGCACTTCTTGATTTCTTGCACTCCTTGATTTTTTTCCGTTGGAGAGTCGCATCTGTACTGAGCTCGATTACAATAAGGGGCAAACCTTGAGAAACAAGTCCTATTCTGGTGAAGTCGAGTTTTTATCTGTGTTTGAAATACGAGAGCGAGTGGGCGAATTGTGAACCTTTGACACTGCTTTTCTGCATGAGCATTCGACCTCAGTCAGTTCTCAGAGATGTGTTCTCTTCACCGTGTTGGTTTTGTCTTGGATTTTTTTTTTTCAAAGATAAAGGGTGGACGATAGAGGTTCCTTCTGTTGATGGTTACTGAACTCGAGTTGACCGACAAGGTTCACTCACCTTCGTAGTTAACCTTTTCTGTTATGGGATGCCTGGTGATTTTTTACATCGAACGAAGGTCTGTGCCTCAAGTCTCCGTTGACAGTTATGCTCATTGAACTATCATGGTGCCAGTGCTAGATGGCGCGTCAATGGCTGGAATTACTACAGATGGGCAGGAAGAGCAGGTTATGATTGGCAACCTTCATGATACAGATGTAGAGGAAGATGCAGATGCAATGGTAGAAGAATTCTCTCCGCAAGCGATGCAATCAAGCCCTGGTTGTACGTACTAAACCCAGACCCTGTGACTATTTATTATGATGGGAATGTCATACCACATCGTTCACATGTGACCAGCTTCTCGCGGGGCGTGACCAACATGCCGCCACTTTTTGACATTTACACTTCTCGTATCACTGGCTCAGAAGACCCGGTGAAACAAGTTTGTGCTGCCGCAGTATCACATCCTTAATCCACAAAACCAGTAAAAGGAAATATTCAAATTTAGTTGCATTTTATTTTTGTCATCAGAGAATCTCCACTTAGGTCAATGTTTGAAGATTTTAGATTGTCATCGCATTCGATCCTTGGGTTGATTTGAAAGTCATATCAATGTCACTGTTCCACTGTATGCAATCCTTGTGGAACAAGTGTTGCGGCATTGAAGCAATTGAGTGTAATCCGATCATCTCCTGTCTCAATGAGCGTGGACACTGAATCTTCATTGGACGAATGAAATTTTACAAGTCTGGCCTTGTGTGTCGTGTGATGCGTATTGGCACTTGGCAGTAGGCAAGGAGTGATGACGTTGGTTGTGTGCTTGCAGTGGAGGAAAACATACAAGGCCAGCACTCTTGGAGTTCAACCACTGCTCCTGTCATAAGGACAAGGATAGTGCACATCAGCTCCGCCATTCTGGCAGCAAAGAGTCCTTTTTTTTTCAAGGTGAGGCAGTCTTACCTTAGTGCAACCATCTTCCTTCGGATCTGTTGATGAAGGGCTTTTGGATATTTTAGACATAATCTTGTTCTTACCTTATTATCTGTCTTGTTCAATATGTAGCTCTTTTCCAATGGCATGAGGGAATCAGAGCAAAGGGATGTCACTCTACGCATCAGCGCATCAGGTAAAGTCCGGTTTCAAATGCCCTACTCGTCGAGTCATTGTCATCACTCCGTCTCATGAGTGTTCTCAGAATCAGTTACAGCATGGGTTTGGAGCTAAATGGAAGCATTTGGAAAATTTTAGTTGCCAGTTCAACCACCGGAAGAACTGATCGTCGTATAGCATCCAAAGCATAAGAAGAAAGTAGGGTGTTCATCGTGTGCTATGGTCTTACTGCTTCTTTGAAGTGTTTCTTTCGACTGTAATCTCTTCACGGAACATGAAGAGTATGTAACTGAGGTTGAAGAAGGAATTTAGCTAGTCCACAACTCGCATCTATCTCTTCGAACATCTGCAGTGATTGTAACTTTTTGCTTTCGTGTCACGGTGTGCGATTATGTGTAGCTTTCTGACATCATATGTTAATTGTGCAGAGGAGACAGCCCTGATGGACTTGCTGCAGTTCATGTACAGTGGTGAAATACAGGCTCAAAAACCGTCCACCGTATTAGATGTTCTCATGGCAGCTGATAAGTTCGAAGTGTCTGAATGTATGCGATGCTGTAGTAAACGGCTCCGAAAGCTGCCTATGACTCCAGAATGCGCCTTGCTTTACTTGGATCTGCCGTCTAGTGTCTTACTGGCCGAAGCAGTCCTACCTCTCACGGACGCAGCTCGACTATACTTGGCTTCACGATACAGAGATATTGGCAGGTGAGTTTTCAGGTTTTACTGGTCTATACGTGAACTATTAATATGATGGGTGTCTAATGTTTTGATCAAAGAATTGTTTTTGGTGCGGAAACGCTGATGGCGCTGTACATGCAAATGAGACACGATACGTCGAGCTAATCCTCTGATATGGGTCAGAGCAATGTATCCTCTTCTGTCGAGTGTTACGTTCTACTAAAGTTCATGACTTCCCTGAGACGCCTCGTTGTTAAAGTGCTGTGAGTAAGCGGTGTGTGGATGGCTCTTACCAGATTCACGGAAGAAGTAATGAATCTACCGCTCGCGGGTTTGGAGGCAGTTCTCTCAAGTGACGACCTCCAAGTAGCGTCGGAGGATGCTGTGTATGACTTCGCATTAAAATGGGCAAGAGCACATTACAACAAATTGGACGAGCGGAGAGACATTCTTGGATGCAGGCTAGTGTGGCTGATTCGCTTCCCGATGATGTCAAGTAGAAAACTTCGTAAGGTTCTCACCTGCAATGATTTTGAGCACGAGCTCGCTTCCAAGCTAGTACTAGAGGCCCTATTTTTTAGAGCGGAGGCTCCTCACCGACAACGGCAGCTCGCGATGGAGGAGACGATGCACAAAAGATTCAGTGAGAGGGCCTACAAATATAGACCGGTCAAAGTGGTGGAGTTCGACGCACCTTTTCAACAGTGCATCGTGTTCTTGGATCTCAAGTTGGAGGAATGTACAGCCCTGTGGCCTCAACAGCGGCTATACTCACAGGCTTTTCACTTAGGTGGACAGGGATTCTTTCTATCTGCCCACTGCAACTTGGACCAGCAAGGGTCGTTTCGATGTTTTGGACTCTTCCTAGGTATGCAAGAGAAGGGGTCTGTGAGCTTCGCCGTAGATTATGAGTTTGCTGCCCGAATGAAGCCGAATTGGGATTTTGTACCGAAGTCAAAAGGGAGCTACCTGTTCACGGGAGGAAAGGCCGTCGGTTATCGGAATCTGTTTGCTTTGACTTGGCAGCAATTTGTGTCGGAAGACAGCCCGTATTTTCACGACGGTGTTCTGCATCTTCGAGCAGAGCTGACCATCAAACCGAAGCTCACTTCGGTGCTACAAGGTTCTTGAGGGGTTGTATGAGCTGGACGCCTTTTCTGGCGGAGCCGGTAACCTGCCAATCAGGCTGTTGATTTGGAGATCTGCATGGGAAAGGTGACGACAGACAGGAGGTGGGGTCATGCCGCTATATGTGACGATATCTCATGAGGCTTTCTCCTCTGCCCTGTTTTGCCTTAATGTCCGCTGCTTCAGAGCTGCATATGTTGTGGGCCAATCCGTTGTGAGTAGCGTCTGTTGTAAGGCGATCTTGGACCAAATTGCGTCCTTAGACTTCACCGCCCTTGAATACTGGACATTTTCTACAGAGATAGTGCATTCGGCATTACTCCTGTGGCCCTCTTGGACTATTTTCGATTCTTGGATCTCCTCACTGTCCTGGGAGAGTGGACTTTTCTTCTCAAATAGTGCATCAGGCATTCAAGAGTGTTCAACTGTTGCGGCCCTTTCAGACTGGTCTGCCTAGACAATCGGCAGGCGTGGTGGCAGTTCGACCAGGTGTGGACATTTGCACTAACACAAGCTTGTACCATGTGAGCATCTCCAAAAGTGGGTTAATGCCCATCCAGTTATGGGGTCACATGCACATTCGATTCTGGAGATGCAACACGGGGTGGAACACACAGAAACTCTGTATCTTTATTCGAAAACTGTTTACCCGTAGATAAAGGTTCGGGGCAGTGAGCAGACATTTTTCGATTGTGAGTGGCTAAGCAGCCTTTCTCTGCACGGTAAGGATAGGTATCGGGGGTTTACCAAGAAGCTGTCATAGCCTTCTCTTCTAGATCTAGCTCCGTAGTCTCATTGTACAGATAAGACTGATATGTTTCGAGATCGAGTCACTTGTCCGCACAGCTCTCAACTGACTCCCTGGGCTGTATGATTTGTCAACCGAAATTTTATGGATTTTCTATATTTTAGGTACACTATTGATTCGACACTCGAAGGCAAGACGTAGTTGGAAGCATGTGTCTACATGTCTGCTTGTCTTGAAGATAACAGCACTTCTGGCTCCTCTTATTATAGCGCGGATGTTGTCGACGAGGCGGTTGCCTCCGCTCTACTGTAATTTTTGAATTACTTATGCAGAGAACTTCCCTCCACATCGTCTGTGACAATGTTTTTTGTCATCGGACTATGAATTTTGCTGTTCCACGTCCAAGAGGATATTATTACTTTTTAGCAGTCGTGTTGTGTCTTTACTGACATAGCTTGTCGATGAAATGGGATGGGGTTATCAAACGAAACTTATGGACTTTACATGGAGCATTCTCTTTCTACTGACCGCAGACAGCCTAATGCAAGGTTTATGAGTATTAAGGAGAGTATTATTGTGGCACCAAAGAAGACTTCATAATTTGGAAATTTTGGTAACAAAAGGTCTGACGTGTGCGCTGCAGGAAAGTACTGCTGTCTTATGTCGATGTTTAACACATGTCGAAACTAATTTTTAAAAACGCCGCCCGTGGAATAATCCAATGGTTTCGGTTCGAGTCCTTTCGCATACCTGGATCGAGCCTTGTCAGCTACCAACTTTCTCCGGACCCCACAAACCGTGCAGACTGCACTTGTAACTGGTGCGGCTGTGATTGCGCCGACCAGAATGACGATCCGCAGCTGAATGCTCAAAGGCTCTAGGCAGTAGCGAAAGTACAGAGTGCAGCTGGCTCAACCGATTGCATCAGATGCGGTTTCTATATATACTATATGCTAACCTGACGACAGGCAGCATCTATGGGCAAGATGTCGTTGTGTTCCACGCGTTGCAGATTTGTCTGATTGAAGAAGCGAGCCGTGGTGATGGTTTCTGAGAACAGCAGTCACAGCTCAAGCTTCACTGGAAGCTTCACTGGAAGGTACCAGACGAGAGATTCTGGCCAGGGCGGATGAGCGCTTCTCTGGACCAGGAGTCCAGGTACAAGCCCACAGAGGCAATGATGGGTGGACCCCGAGCCTCCTCGAAGACAACTCGAACTCTTCGAGTCTGCGAAACTCTGAATCGATCCAGTTTCTTGTAGCCGATTGTAGTCCCGTGGCACACTGCGTCCCACCCTCCTTTGGCTCGATCATTGTTCCCTTCCACCCACACCAGTACACTGTACTTGGAGACCCTCTGGCCGAAGGCCACGGCCTCCTGCAGCTTCAGCACATTGAACTGGATCTGATCCTCGAATTCCAGGCTCAAGAATGCCGAGCTATGGCCCTCGTCAGCCGCCCAGTACGTGGAAGGATCGTCGTCCAGGACGTGGCTCGGTGAGAAGGGAGAGCTTCGAGCAGGGCCTCCTCGAGTGCTGCTGGCCAGGACCTGGACGGCAGCTGCTGCCCTGCTGACTGCGAAGATGTCGTCCAGAGCTGATCTGAAGTCGATCAGAGTTCGCAAGTCCTCCGCTGCGACGAGACCCGAGGAGTTGGGCGGCACATTCAGCAGGAGGACGCAGTTTCTGCCCGTGGACTTGTAGTAGATGTCGAGCAGAGTTTCCACAGGCCATGGGCTCTCATTCGCGTGCCAGAACCAGCCGGGTCTGATCGACACATCGCACTCCGCCGGCAGCCAGTCCGTGCCGCGCGGGTCTCCCGAATTCAAGTATCTGCACACACGCATTCATTCAGCCATTCAGCCAGTCACGAGATTTGCGAGTTGCAAGTGGCCCTGGAAACCCGCATGCCAGCCAGAGCCTTGGAGATTGCTCCTCAGAACCCGCAGCAGACAAGCTCACCGCAACAACTGCACTGCACTGCAATGCAAGGTTTCGCATCGATTGAATTCCCCCCACTCTTTCCGCTGACGACGAGCTCGAGAATTTCCATCTCCTCGTCGGCCTCGGGAGCCCCCGCTCCCTCTGCTCTGTCATCGGCAGTGCTAGAGGCTCTGCTGATGAGGCGCCAGGGCTTAGAATTACGAGCCCCAATGGCAGCGGCCGCAAGCGCAGAGGAGCACTTTTCGGAGCTCGGGGGAAGAGAAGAAGGAAGGAAGGGAGGGGGTTGGGGTTGGGGCAGGGGACTCACCCGAGAACATCCCCCGACTGACCGATGTGCAGAGCGGAGGCGTTGATCATGGACCAGCAGGTCGGGCCGGCCTCGCCCCACTCGTTGCCCACCCACCGAATGTCAGGCCCTGCGTCGGAGAAGATGTTAGCCCCCGGCTGCAGCTGGTGGATCAGCGCGTGCCACTCCGTGTACATGTACGACATGTTCTTCGCGTCTTCGCCTTTAGCCCCGTCCAGCCACACCTCCGCGATCGGCCCATACCTGCCACCACGCCACCCAACCCCCGTAACAGTCAGAAGCACTGAGCGCATTCATCCCAACCACGACTGCCAGAGTTTCAATACTGAACGACCGACTTCGTGGCGCCCTGCGCTACCGGGGTGGGTGGCTGGCGCCCTACCCGGTGAGTAGCTCGCGAAGCTGCGCCATGTAATGCTCGTTGTAAGCGACCGTGTCGCCGTAGGTTTCCTCGTGACGGTCCCAAGGAGAGAGGTAGACCCCGACGTCGAGCTCAGCGTCTCTGGCGGCCGTGACGAAGTCGCGGAAGACGTCGCCCGCGCCGTTGCGCCAGGGGCTGCGGCGCACCGAGTAGTCGGAGTAGCGCGTGGGCCAGAGGCAGAAGCCGTCGTGGTGCTTGACGGTGAGCATGACGAGCTCGAAGCCCGCGAGCTTGGCCGCGCGCATCCACTGGCGCGCGTCCAGGCGCGCCGGGTCGAAGGTCGCGGGATCGGCCCGCCCGTCGCCCCACTCCGAGTCCGTGAACGTGTTCATGCCGAAGTGGAAGAAGAGCACCATCTCGCGCTGCTGGAAGCGCAGCTGCGACGCCGAGGGCATGGGCGCAATCGGCAGTGGCGGCGTCGGATACGTCGTCGCGCTCCACGCCGTTCCCGTTCCTGCCAGCACCGTCGCGCTCCACCACAACCACATCCACATCCTCATCCTCGCGCCCTCCGGTTTCCCCATCGCCCGTCCCCTGCCCTCGCGCTGCTGCAGATTAGGGGTCCAGGCCGTCGCCCTCAACGGTCACCAGCGTCGCCTGCTTTGCGCTGCGTTGCGCTGCGTGGGCAGTCACGGATCTGAAGCTTCTGACGCCAGTCTCGACCTCCATCCCCTGGGCACCGGAGCGGCGGGTCTCCGGCATTGATCCTCCATTCGGATCAGGACAGGTGGACGGATTTAGCAAGCCGATGCTTACGAAAATCCGTGAATCCGACAGTGCGGCAGTCCTATCGCTTTCTTTAAGCGATTCCCATTCTCCACTTGATGCCAGCATACTTGCGGTGCTCAAGAAGATCCAAACGTGTCGACATTTTCTCGATTTGTCTGAGAGTCTGAGTCAGTTCCACAGTCAGTGCATGGATTACACGACAATGAGGAAAACAGTGGCTGTTCGACTGGGCCCAGATGATTCACTTCCCATTGTGACGGAGTGGATGAATTCATGCAAAAATCTGCTTCTCCTGGAGGGCACACGTCTGATCCAACAGTCAATAATCTGGAATTCATGGATTAATCATGAAATTCAGTTCCATATCTTGATTACATGTCTGCGGATTAAACAGTCCAGATCAGAGCACAGTTGGCTGTTTGGCTCCTGACTGGCTTTCAGCCACACTTCTCCGAACATGAAGCTCTCGAGTGGATAGTGACCAGCATATCTAGAGTCATGCCGTCCACCGGGAAAGCCCAGAGTTCATGATTCTTGGATGGGATTGAGATTGGTCAACACGTACACACAATCGTTGTTGGAGGAACAGATACACCATGTCCTGCATCACGTACTGCGTGAGAGGTACACGCTGAGTACTAGCAATCTACCAACTCTCACGACTCGGGTCATTGTGTGTGAAAACCATCGGGGCATGAACCGATGATTCTCATCCACAGCCGACACTCGTCCCACTTCCCACTTCCTTGTGGTTTCCTCGTGCTAATAATGCTAATAAGTCCAGATTGCTCTTCCCGTCCCGAGCGGATCTGTATCCAGAGAGTTCAGCGCCGTTCGGAATAATTTGCATTTGATGACAAAGACTGGTACGTCGTATATGAGATGATGGTCGTAGATAGATATGTAAAAGCACGAAGATTCTCAAATTCTCAGATTCGTTGCTCATCAGCTGCTGCATCGGTTCCCTCGTGCCATAATCTGCTCCGATTCTCTCTCGGCTATGGGAGCTTTTCGCTGACTCCAGTCCAGTGACAAGGTCCCCCACGTGGACGGACACCACTTATTTCCGCAGCTTGCAAATATTAGATCCTTCGATTGTTGTAAGCTGGAATGCCGCAAATTCATGGCAGCTGACAGGTCTCCGACGTGAAATGAGAACCCCAATTTCGCAAGCATCGTGGAAGCCCATGCAGACTTGGACACGAAGCAGTTCCTGGCATCTGCGAACTAGAGGCTCTCGGACCTGGCATTGCAGGATCTGAACAACTTCAGTGGCGGAGAGGGACCGAGATGAATGACGGCATGTTGTCATTCAAGCGGCAGCAGAATTGAGATTTCTCCTGCGTCTGCTGCAATCTTCGAGCAGCTGGTTGCCATCCTCGTATTCATCATCATCCTCCGTTTCCAGGCTCAACTCATTCCCCATATCTGCAACAGAAGTCGCAGGTTGTGAGCAGCAACGCGCGGCAATTGAACTCCGACGATTTAGCAAGTCGATGCGTACGAAAATCCGTGAATCCGACAATGCGGCAGTCCTCTCGCTTTCTTTAAGCGATTCCCATTCTCCACTTGATGCCAGAGAACTTGCGGTGCTCAAGAAGATCCAAACGTGACGACATTTTCTCGATTTGTCTGAGAGTCTGAGTCAATTCCACAGTCTAGTGCATGGATTACACGACACATGAGATGAGGAAAACAGTGGCTGTTCGACTGGGCCCAGATGATTCACTCCCATCGTAACGGAGTGGATGGATTCAAGTGAGGCATTCCATGCAAAAATCTGCTTATCCTGGAGGGCACACGTCTGATCCAACAGTCAACAATCTGGATTTCATGGTATAACATGGAATTCAGTTCAATATCTTGATTACATGTCTGCAGTCTAAACTGTCCAGAGCAGAGCACAGTTGGCTGTTTGGCTCCCGACTGACTTTCAGCCACACTTCATTGAACATCAAGCTCGAGTGGTTAGTGACCAGCTTATTTAGAGTCATGCCGTCCACCGGGAAGGCCCAGAGTTCATGATTCTTGGATGGGATTGAGATTGGTCGACACGTACACACAATCGTTGTTGGAGGAACAGGTACACCATGTCCTGCATCACGTACTGCGTGAGAGGTACACGCTGAGTACTAGCAATCTACCACCGCTCACGACCATCGGGGCATGAACTTTTCATGATTCTCATGATTCTCATCCACAGCCGACACTCGTCCCACTTCCCACTTCCTTGTGGTTTCGTTCGTGCTAATAATGCTAATAAGTCCAGATTGCTCTCCTCGTCCCGAGCGGATCTGTTTCCAGAGAGTCCAGCGCCGTTCGGAATAATTTGCACTCGATGACAAAGACTGGTACGTCGTTTATGAGATGACGGTCGTAGATACATATGTAAAAGCACGAAGATTCTCAAATTCTCAGATTCGTTGCTCATCAGCAGCTGCATCGGTTCCCTGCTGCCATAATCTGCTACGATTCTCTCTCGGCAATGGGAGCTTTTCGCTGACTCCAGTGACAAGGTCCCCCACGTGGACGGACACCACTTCTTTCCGCAGCTTGCAAATATTAGATCCTTCGATTGTTGTACGCTGGAATGCCGCAAATTCATGGCAGCTGACAGGTCTCCGACGTGAAATGAGAACTCCAATTTCGCAAGCATCGTGGAAGCCCATGCAGACTTGGACACGAAGCAGTTCCTGGCATCTGCGAACTAGAGGCTCTCGGACCTGGCATTGCAGGATCTGAACAACCTCAGCGGAGGATCAACGAGATGAATGACGGCATGTTGTCATTCAAGCGGCGGCAGAATTGAGATTTCTCCTGCCTCTGCCGCAGTCTTCGAGCAGCTAGCTGGTCGCCATAGGGCTCCGATCGGGTCGGGTTTGACCTTCAACCCGAAAATCAGGGTCGGGTTCGGGTCGAATCCGGAAACTGAGAGTGAGAAGAATCAAAACTGCTGTCCCACATTGAGTTTTGTGGTAGAAGCGCTCTGAGCAGCAGGCAGGTCAGCAACCGATTGACTGATTGATCAGAGGCCATGGGCTGCGCTCGTTTGAGAATTCGACGCTTGCCAGGCGCAGCTCGATCGATCGATGTCGACGCAGCCAGAGCCCTCGATCGGTGCGTGCGTGCGTGCGTGCATGACTATCCGGAGCAATCGACAACGGCGCCATAGCCCGCGACCTCGCTCGGAGCCCAGCTGCGAATTCGATCCGAGGTCGATTCGAAAGCGTCGGCTTCCGATGGCCAGCACCGGCTCATCGATTTGCGTGCACAGTTCGAACTCGAACGGATGCGAATGTTGAGTATCGGTTCTCTCTGCGCGCATATCATGGCCGTCGAGCTTGCAGGAGGAGGGGCTGGCACCATCTTCGCTCGGAGCATCACAGCAGGCACGGGTCGCGTCCCACGATCTCGTGGTCGGGGACTCTGCACCCTCCACCCACTGCATCAAGACCCGTCTTGAACCTGCCCGAAGATGATGATTGCGATGGCTCATGTGTTCGACGACTGCTTCGAAGCATGGAAAGCAGAGGAGCTGGTCAAGTTCATGCACCTGTTCCTCGTCGTCCAAGAGGAGGCAGCGAGTTCGGACAACACCGATCGAGAAATTCCACGGGTTACAAATCGGTGGAGAGTAAAAACTTTCTTCGAAATATATTCGAAGAAAAACCTCGAGAAGAGTATCCTGATGAAACAGCTGTTATCTCAATATACGAAATTCTTCGTATATTGAGATAGATGGAAAAGTAGATGGGAAAAAAATCATCGAAGCTTTACCCTCTACCCGAATCCGGACCGGACCCGATCCGACCCGAACCCGATCCTCGTATTCATCATCCTCCGTTTCCAGGCTCAACTCATTCCCCATGTCTGCAACAGAAGTCGCAGGTTGTGAGCAATTGAACTCCTCTGGGGTCCTCGAATTTAGACTGCAATTCGATCTCGATGACTCGATGCGAAGATCCAAGGTCGGAGGAATGTGTACAAACAGACGATCTCGATGTTGCAGCATGTTGGCGCAACTCAAAATCCTTGGTCATGGTGATCAGCCGAAAGCCTTGGGGATAGAATCTACGAAGAGGTCGGTCGAGCAGTGAGTGCACCACATGCTCGAGCGGAACAGAAGGCCCACTCAGTCAGACCGACGGAAAGGTCAGAGCGATCTCGTTGTGGACAGTGCTCTCCCTCTCTCTCTCTCTGCTGCGGAAGCCAATGAATCGACAGATCGAGTCTTAGAGCAGAACAGTCGACGACTTGATGGGAGCTGGAGACCTGGACGCTTTCCAGTGAAGATCGATCAGAGATCTTCTGCAACGGGATCCGCATGCTCCCCTGGCTTCAGGGTCTCGAGAGTCCCTGCGATCCGCAGACTCCGTGCCGAGATTTCAGGTCCACCTTCTCTTCCTCCGCAAGTGGAAGAATTCAGTCTCCCATCGCCCCGCAGCCACAGGATTTTACGACAGGAGTTTCGCACTTCCAGAATCTCCTGCACTTCACAATTCACACTTCTCCCGCCGCCTCCCTCCGCATACGACGCCGCACTCCACTCGCTCGACTGAGTCCGCGGAGTCGCAAAGAGGAAGGTGGAAGGTGGGCTCCTGAGAACTTTTGGAGCTCGTTTTCTCAGCTTCGAGGAATCGAGAAATGGGCAAGAGAACGATATGCCATAACAAGATTCTGCTCTCTCTGCTCTCGCAGTGAGTAACATCCACGAAGGTCGCGGTTGACATAACAAGATTCTGCTCTCTCTCTGTTGTTCGCAGTGAGTCACATCCACGAAGGTCCCGGTTGACGACTTTGCCACTGCGCGACTTGCCCGGGGCATCACACCGGGATTCAATTGGGCCATGCTCTTGGCATGTAGTCATTGACTACTCTGATTCCTGACGACATTCTCTTCCAGTGCG